GTGCTCACGCTGTACGGGTCAAATGAAAATAAAACATTCTGGCAACTGTCAATAAAGGTTCGTTTGAAAGCTCTGAAGCAGGCAGAAGTTTATTTTCTAGCAACACTGCTAACCAGGCAGAGACGTGCTGGCTTGACCGCCTGTGCTTCTGGACTTCAGGACTTCAGGAGCAGCCGATCGTCCCTCGCACGGCCAACGCTCCCGACGAAGCTGAAACTGGGTCCGACTCTTAAATGAGCCACGAGGTTTTAAAACGGGCTTATGAACCTGAAAATGAGCAGAATAGCACCTCTTTAACGGCCACGCCTGAGACAGAACTTTACTGAAAACTTCAAATGTTTGTGTAGCCTAATTAATTAATTAGCCTAACACATCAGTGACGAGGAAACTGGATTAATTTTAGGATGCAGCTATTGTCATTATTCTAATGTGCTTCATCAGGATGACGGAGTAAAATATTATTAATAGGCAACTTTTTTTTTCTGTAGAATACACAAAACTAATGAGATGAGAAGAAAAGATAATTGTTAAGTAGAGCCCTAATTTCAATCATCAATAAAAATGGTGACCTCCCTTAAACATTTCACACTTGTGAGTTTGTAAAAAATAGTTTAGAAAATGAAGTAATTATTTAACGATGCAGGTTGTAATTTCAACAGCGTGCTCATTTCTGTCCTGGACATCCTCCCTTTCAAACTGTTTTTATTAAAAGGAGTGAATGTCGAAGTGCATGATGGGATTTATTGTTTTGTTTGGATCAAATTGGGTATCAAGAATCGTGGAATTTCACTGATACCGCCTACTGAGTTTCTGGTTATGGCGACGTCCCTAAGACGTGCACAGTCCAGAGAAAATGATGCCAATTAACTTCGGCGCCATCATCAGGTATAAATTGGAATTTTAAATAATTATTTCCGTTTCTAACCACATGGAGGGAGAACGAGGCTCCTGGGGGATGTAAACGATTTGTTGAAACCTTAGAACTACATTTACTTACGGTGAGTTTACAGTCGGTGTCGGAGTCAGAGCTCGCATTATGGATTTGTAAGCTGCTGCAAGTCGCTGGGAACATGACGGCATGTTTATGTGTGATGTGTCACTTGTTATGCGTCGTCAGCACACGTCGCTGTCTTGTACTTTAGCTATCTGAGGTCTGAATATCCAACCAGCCCCCGGAAGAACACGCTCACACCTCTACTGCCTGGGAACTCTCTGAATACAAGAGCATAGACAGTGACCTCTGAACAGCAGTCAGGTGCAGGAAGAGGAGCGTTCCAGCACACGTTTTCTGTTCTTCCAGAGGGAAGAAGCCATTAAAGTCAGCAGCAACAGCGGATTTGAAGTCCCAGGGGTGAAGGCGAGAAACCGAAAGCTGTAGATGGAATAAAAGAGTGAAATACTTGGACAGAAAAATAAAACTGTCAAGCACCCAAACACGGAGCTTTGTTGTCCAAGAACAGATCGATTAGTAAAGCCTTGCCATTCCCCCACAGGATTTTCAAGCGTCGCACCATCTGAAAGTTGAATTTGATCTTTTTCAAAGAGAAGATAAGAAACAAAATAAATAAAGTTTTCCCTCCAGGACCCCTGTGGTGCCCCCGCCTCGTTAAAACTGCTGCCTGAAGTTAACTCGAGTGTTACTTTCTGGTGTTCACAGCAGAAGCTGAAAATAAAACCGTTAATGACATCCGGCATTATGTCTCAAAGCCTCGTCTTTATTAAAGTCTTTTGAAATATAGCATAATAACTGTGACACCTGGCAGTGTGTAATTAGCTCATGTTCTGCCTTTGGTCTTCTGCAAAGTCCTTTTAGGCAAGTCCTGCCACTCGGCCGCCATCTTGGCAACGAACATGACCAGGCTCCTGTCTGAATGAATGTGCAGAGCTGCAGTCTCACCGGGACATAAAAACTACATGAACTGAATCAGCATCAAAATCTGATAAAATTGCTGAAAGAGTTTGACGACTTTGCCCCAAAATACGGTTTAAAAAGCGTTTTTCCAGACCGGTTCTACTTCTGCTACGCATGCGTCTCCACTTCTGCACATGCGCAGTAGACGTAACGCAGGCCCTTTATGTCAGTGGAGCCACACGATTGGCTGAAATATGTTTCCCGCTTTGGCTGTTAAAAGCAGATGATTGGCTTTCTAGCGGGAGGGGCGGGATAACCGCCATCTTTACCGTTACTGGCTTTCCCCAAAGAGCTGTACTGAGGACGTGACTGAGGACGTGACTGAGGACGTGACTGAGTGACGCGTCTCCTCTAAATTGTCTCTGTCCTCTGTCAACACTGAATCAAACAGAAACTGCCGCTGATACGTTCAGGTAATAAAGAGTGGACGAATACTGGACACCTCGACGACGCTGAAGCGGCGCAGCAGGCAGTGCTGAAGTACTCGAAGGCGATATATAAACGTTCAACATTCAACTGTGCTGAGCTGCGTTCAAACTCAACAGCTGCACTTGTTTCCTGCGAGGGACCAGGTGCAGGATCAAAAACACGTGTTGCAGCTTTGATCTGCAGGACGGGACTCAGAGTTACAGACAGCAGCACGTCACTGGTCTTCAGCCTGCACTGGCTGTGATGCTTCACGGTGAGGCGTGTTCTCCAGTGTTCTCTCTCTGTCGGCAGAGGGAAACATCTGGCTCTGTAGCTGCTGACTGCTCCACCGTGTTCACCAGCTGCTCTCTGACCGAGCAGCTCGTGTACGGCGGCTTTTCACAGCTTCTTCTCCGAACACGGTGCTTCCGAGAGCTGCACGCCAGAGTCTGACACTTTCTCTCCATCTCCCTTCCCTGACATTCTACACTCTCATTCAGCCAGCAGAGCCGAGTTCGCCGGGTTCATTTGCATTTAGCTTGTGCAAAACAAACCCAGCTAATTTGTTTAGCATCCGAGAAGCAGCACTGTCAGCCTGGAGCCACTGCTGCTCGCGCACTCTGATCAATATCTAGTCTTTGATGATCGCGCCGCATATCCCAGCAAGAGCAGGTTCAGAAAGGAGTCTGCTATCTGGCTGCTTCCACACCGGCAAACACGGATCCAGAAAATCCTCCATCTGTGATTAGCCACACGCGCTTACAATCAGCCATGCTGCGTTCCCCAGCTGCAGGGAAAACACAAATTAGCTCTGAAATAAGCACAAGCTTGTGTGTGACTGTGCTGACCTTTGTTGTTTCTGTGTGTGCGCTGGCATGTGCGGTCACGTGTGTTCCTAACAAGCCGTGGCGGCGCTCTCTCCTTATCACAACAGCCACCGGTGCGTTCCTCGACGCTAACAGCAGCAGCAGCAGCAGGCCAGAGGCGCCGCTCGCTTTCTCCCTCGCTCTCTCGCTGAGCCGCCCTATAAATAGGCCATTACTTTCAAATGCAAGAATGCTTCCTAAAACCTCCAGCCCTCTCACTCCCTCAGCCACACACAGCGCAGCGCCATCAGCCCGCCAGCCCGACGACAGAGCCCAGATTAAACCGGCCTTTTTAAAGCTGACCACTGTGCTGGTGGCTGTGCAGCTTGTTTCACCCACTGACTACGTTCTCTGCACTGAGAGCAAATCCATGTTTTACCTCGAGTGCGCCGTGCACTTCAATAAATAACGCAGTGCGAGTTTCCTCATACAGGAACAGCCCTCCTGACCTTCACCTGCAGCTCGGCCGATACCTCAGTGACAACTTCCTCCAACAATCTGCAAAGATTAGTCAAGCAACAGAAAATGAATCAGCGACAGTTTTGATAAGTGATTAATCATTTCCAGCCTCTGCAACATCTGCTGCTCGACATCTGAACACTAATGATTAATCGATAAGCATGAAAATCCAGTAAGTGACAGATTCATCTGTGAGGAAAATGATTTCAGCCTGCACACACTGAACTCAATACAGATACATTCCTGCTATTTAAAAAAGCTTCAAAAGGAAAAAAAAATCAATTTTTCTGCTTTAAGTCTTGAAGGGAAAAGAAATAAAAGCTGTTGCTCTTATCTTTTCATCTTTTGTGTTACAGCCTCAGAAATATTCTTCTATGTTTCTTGAATTTAAAGGTAACAGCAGAACAGTTCCAGAGAGCAGAAGCTGCTTCAGCGTGAGAGAAACATGCAAAAGTTTCTGCTCGTCTTTCTATCATTTTTTATTTGCACAGACTCAACATAACATCAGGGGCCACTCAGAGGTGCAGACGCTGTACAGAGGCTCCCTGTACGGCCCCTCCTCACATGAGGGGCCCTGCAGCGCTGATGCTCCAGACTGAAGAGCTTCAGCGAGATCTTTGGTTATTTTTGTTGTCTAAGGTTAGGAGCAGGGGGGGGGGGGGGGGCAGAGTGGACAGTGAGATGAAGACAAGTGCACAAAGTGAAAAAGACTCTCAGCGTGTTCTGCTGCTTCCTCCTACAGAGGTTTACAGATTTGCACGGTTCCCCTCTCAGGATCACCTTCAGCATTAGAACAGGAGGCGGGCAGAACTCACCCCCCCTGCACGCGCACACACACCGCAGGCAGACTACAGCTCCAGCGTCTTCTCCCCGAACCCGGCTGCTGATGTAACGCCGGAACATCTGTGCGCCTCGGGCAGGACGGAGCCATCTGCCACCCAGATTCTGTGTGGGCTGGGGGAGGGATTTAATGCTGGTTATCAAAGTGGGGTCCGGGGAGCCTCCGGGGGCCCTACCCCGACGGGGTTCGAGTTACTCCACCGAGATGAGTCGGGGAGAGCGGGGTGGGTTTTCTGCGTAATTCAGTTTTTAATTCTAAAATCTCAGTCAGAGCAGAGCCCGAGTTTAAGAGCGTGCTCCAGCGGGTCCCCGGGACCGAGCCGGAGCCTTAACGTTCGGGTTCAGCCCTAACCGAGACTCGGATCGGTGTTCCGGAGGAGAACCGCGGCTCTAATCACAAGCATGTGGTCCTTCTGACCAGCGAGACTCTCTGGAAGTTCAACTCAGACCTCTCGGTGTCACAGCGCGGAACACAGAGCCACCAACACAACGCGCAGAGGCGCAGAGCGTCTTACCGTGGAGAGGAGGAGAGATGGACGACTTAGAGATCCTGAGCTGGAGCCCGCATCGTGGACCGAGAGGAGGATGAGAGGAAGCAGGCTGCTGCTGGGAGGGAATAATCCGACTGTCAGTGACAATAACCCGGAGAGGAGGAGGAGGAGGAGGAGAGCAGGAGGGGGGGGTGCTTCCCCATCCAATTAGAAACAGTGGGACTGATGGCCACAGGAAACGCGGCAGCTCCAGTCCGTCAGGAGGGACACTGAGAGACCCGAGACTCGTTTTAAACTACAGACATCATGGAGGAAATCAGAAGCTGCACGTGAACCTGTGCTGCCGACTGTCCCAGCACGCTGCGCACATTTCCTGCACTAACGCAGAGTCCGCTGTTTGAGAGCAGAGCTGCAGCCGCCATCTGTGCTCCTCTGCTGCCCTCTGGTGGGGAGAGGAGGAACCCTGACCCGCACAGACCCTGACCCGCACAGACCCTGACCCACACAGACCCTGACCCGCACAGACCCTGACCCACACAGACCCTGACCCGCACAGACCCTGACCCACACAGACCCTGACCCACACAGACCCTGACCCACACAGACCCTGATCCACAGAAACCTTAATCCACACAGACCCTGATCCACAGAAACCTTAATCCACACAGACCCTGACCCACACAGACCCTGATCCACACAGACCCTGACCCGCACAGACCCTGACCCACACAGACCCTGATCCACAGAAACCTTAATCCACACAGACCCTGACCCGCACAGACCCTGACCCGCACAGACCCTGACCCACACAGACCCTGACCCGCACAGACCCTGACCCACACAGACCCTGATCCACAGAAACCTTAATCCACACAGACCCTGATCCACACAGACCCTGACCCGCACAGACCCTGACCCACACAGACCCTGATCCACAGAAACCTTAATCCACACAGACCCTGATCCACACAGACCCTGACCCACACAGACCCTGACCCGCACAGACCCTGACCCACACAGACCCTGATCCACAGAAACCTTAATCCACACAGACCCTGATCCACACAGACCCTGACCCGCACAGACCCTGACCCGCACAGACCCTGACCCACACAGACCCTGACCCACACAGACCCTGACCCACACAGACCCTGATCCACAGAAACCTTAATCCACACAGACCCTGATCCACACAGACCCTGACCCACACAGACCCTGACCCGCACAGACCCTGACCCACACAGACCCTGACCCGCACAGACCCTGACCCACACAGACCCTGACCCACACAGACCCTGACCCACACAGACCCTGACCCGCACAGACCCTGACCCACACAGACCCTGATCCACAGAAACCTTAATCCACACAGACCCTGACCCACACAGACCCTGACCCACACAGACCCTGACCCACACAGACCCTGACCCACACAGACCCTGACCCACACAGACCCTGACCCACACAGACCCTGACCCACACAGACCCTGACCCACACAGACCCTGACCCACACAGACCCTGACCCACACAGACCCTGATCCACAGAAACCTTAATCCACACAGACCCTGACCCACACAGACCCTGACCCACACAGACCCTGACCCACACAGACCCTGACCCGCACAGACCCTGACCCACACAGACCCTGACCCGCACAGACCCTGATCCACACAGACCCTGACCCACACAGACCCTGATCCACAGAAACCTTAATCCACACAGACCCTGACCCACACAGACCCTGACCCGCACAGACCCTGACCCACACAGACCCTGACCCACACAGACCCTGATCCACACAGACCCTGATCCGACAGCTTCTGCTCTGACACCACTGTGAGGTTTTTTTAATTGAAAGTATCAAGATTTACAAACTTGGCTGCACAGAATCCGTTTCTACAGAATAGTAGAAAATAGGGAGCAGCTCTTCATCCAAACAGGAAATAGTTTGTTAATGTAGTCTTAGTAACAAAATAAGGATGATTTATAAAAGGAGAGGAAACATTTAAATAAATAAATTCAAATAAATAACCGGTAAGAGAGATTATGACACAAGGGGAGGATTCAGTCTTTGTTCAGCTGTTTACCTCAGTTGGGAACTGTTGTAGAGGATCATATATTTATATACCTTTCAGCCTTTTTAAGGATTTTATATCTAGTTTAAATTCATATTTTTTTTAAAAATTAGCAACACCACTGTGAGTGCAGTGTGGACGCAGCTCTGCCCTCAGACCGGCCCTCCCGTCACTCCCGCGTTATTTGGACGCCTCTGATTGGACAGACACCTGGGGCTCGTTCGGTGGGTGTGTCAGAGGCGTTATCCAATCAGCAGCCGGGTGTATTTAAACACCGCCTTATTAAAAGCGCAGTGCGCGTGCCTACCAACCTACCATGTCCCTGCCTGCTTATTGGGTAACACCTCGGCCACGCCCACCAAACCAGAGAAAACATAGCTCAAAGCTAGTCGTGCAACGTTTCGAGAAAACACGGCGTTCAATCCAGAAACCGGAGCAGAACGTTTTGAGACTGAAGCAGCGGAGGCCAGGAGTACTAACCAATCAGAGGCCGAGTTGTTAAATAAAATAATGCGCAGTAGGCCACAGGGTCACAGGTGGAGGTCAGAATTTCCCCGTTGAAGTTTCCGGCTGCAGCGTCAGAGCGTTTCAGGTGCGTGACGCCAGATGAGAACTGAAAACACGCGTGACCTCGACAAACGCCTCAGCAGCGCCCTCTGCGTTCATTACTCACTCCTAACTGCGCTCCTGCGCAGCCGCATCAGCTGCTAATCTGCAGAGGTCGGTAGCCGTCGTGTTTCCTGCCGTTGAGCTGTGTGCAGAGAAGAAGACCTTCAGCTCACACACACGACAGCTTTTACTACATGAGTAATATTTACAACACGCGCTGCTGTTGTGTGACGTCGGACAGCCGCCTTTTCATGAAGTCGGGGGTATGAGTGGCGTTCAGCTGTAATACTCTCTCTAGCTGGAGGAGAGAAAGTTTTGAGTTCAGAGTTGCTCTTGAACGCAGCTCCTCCCCGGCCCCTCTCCTGTCGGGGTCGCTCGCTCGTGACCTGCTCCGGGGTTTTGTTTGACTGTTCCTGCCGCCTATTTGTCTGCATGTGAATCCCCCTCCACCCAACATCCAACCACATCCAACCAACATCCACCCAACATCCAACCACATCCACCCAACATCCACCCAACATCCAACCACATCCAACCAACATCCACCCAACATCCACCCACATCCAACCAACATCCACCCAACATCCAACCAACATCCACCCACATCCACCCAACATCCAACCACATCCAACCAACATCCACCCAACATCTAACATCCAACCAACATCCACCCACATCCACCCAACATCCAACCAACATCCACCCAACATCTAACATCCAACCAACATCAACCCACATCCACCCAACATCCAACCACATCCAACCAACATCCACCCAACATCTAACATCCAACCAACATCCACCCACATCCACCCAACATCCAACCAACATCCACCCAACATCTAACATCCAACCAACATCCAACCAACATCCAACCACATCCAACCAACATCCACCCAACATCCAACTACATCAACCAACATCCACCCAACATCCAACATCCACCCAACATCCACCCACATCCACCCAACATCCACCCACATCCACCCAACATCCAACCACATCCAACCAACATCCAACCAACATCTAACATCCAACCAACATCCACCCACATCCACCCAACATCCAACCACATCCAACCAACATCCACCCAACATCCAACCAACATCTAACATCCAACCAACATCCACCCACATCCACCCAACATCCAACATCCACCCAACATCCACCCAACATCTAACCACATCCACCCAACATCCAACCAACATCCACCCAACATCTAACCACATCCACCCAACATCCAACCAACATCCACCCAACATCTAACCACATCCACCCAACATCCACCCACCCACATCCAACCAACATCCAACCAACATCCACCCACATCCACCCAACATCCATCCAACATACCAGGTTTATCGAAGGTTAAATCTGCTGCAAAAAGCTGCGTCCTAAGCAGCGATTTAAACGTTTGTAGGGTCTGTGCAGCTTTAATAATATGCACGGGGAGGCTGTTCCATAGGACGGGGGCGCCCACTGCACTCGCCCTTATTTTTTAGCGTTGATCTCGGGACATCCGAGAGCAGCTGATTTGTTGACCTCAGTGTTGTGACTGGAGAATGGTGGCATCAGCCAGTTAAGGTGGCGCCAGACCATTTAAGGCCTTAAAAACAAGCAATAACATCTTGAAGTCTATCCTGCAACGCACAGGTAGCCACAGTGGAGGGAGGCCAAGACTGGCTTTTTTTTGTTTTTCTTAAAAGGCGAGCAGCTGCATTTTGGACTGACTGGAGGCGATTTAAAGATTTCTGATGTACAATAATCCAGCCGAGCAGTAATAAAAGCATGGACGACTTTTCAAGGTCTTTGGGAGGAAGATAGGCCTTTATTTCACCCAACATTACAAATGTGCTTTAAAAAAGCTGGGTAACTATTTCCACACAGAAATGTAAATGTTCCTGGCAGTTTGACTCTAACTATAAAGCACCTCACCTTCCTGTCTGCCTGTAATCCTCTGCTTTACTATGGCAGATTGAATCTGTCTGAACAAAAGGCTGCTAAACATGAAACAGATGCTTTTAAAGTGCAGCTTTGGAACATAAATGATAAACAATTTAGAAGCCGGCCGGCACACCGGAGGCCTTTCTCATGGAGGAGTCGAGGCAACAGGCATTTAACACAGAGCCTTTCTCATTTCCTTATTTTGTGCCTCCTCGAGGTGCATTTTGGGAATTGAGATGTCCTTCAAGGGGGCGCGCTGTGATCGATTACTGGGTCTCGAAAAAGGCTCTTACTCCCTTAACAAAGAACAAATCCAAAACAAACTCAGGTCAACACAGTTTGTCCGGAGACATGATTTCCTGTGCGAGCGGGAGGACCCGGCTGCTGGCTGGTGGAACGTGTCTCCTGCAGGAGCTTGTACACCGACGGGAAATGTCTAGTTAGTTTCTCTCAGGGACTCTTCAGTAGCAGTGCAGACACCAAACTCACTCAATAAACTTAAAGCTGACCTCGGTCAGCGGACGTGCTGCTCGGTCGGCCACAGCTCCTCGTTATTCCAGCTCGTCTCCACCGTTTCTACCGGACTACAGACCGCAGCGTTAAAGTATCTGGCTGAAGAACAGGAACGTGCCTCAGACTTCAGAACCTCCTGAAAGTACTTCATTTCAGTTTTATTTTTACATTAACATGCAAGTTTCTGACTCGCTCCAGCAGTGACCGGAACACCGGGCTTTCCATTTATCGTCAGCGCATCAGATGAACGGATGAATGAGGATGTGATGGGGTGACTGTATCCTCTTCAGGCACGTGGCCCGGTCCTGGTGCATCGAGGCTCAGCCATCCCCGAGTGTGTGTG